GAAATATGTGTAAATACGTGTTGATTTTCATAATAAAACGATCTGTTGCCTGGCCCTTGTCTTCTGTTGTTACAACAGTTTATTGCTCAGAATTATAATAATTCATTCATATAACTTCTTAACTTGCATTAGACACTTCTGTATATTCAGGATAGGCGTTGTGGCATTTCTATTCCATGTACTTAGGTGTTGATTCCATGAACAAAGTTTTATTAAGAAAACTACTCTGGGCTTGTGATGCTACTTCCTTATATGGTAGTAGTACTACCCAAGCTTTGAATTCGTTAATTTCATAATATTTTCATTATTAAAATTTCCACCTCTATTTTCCTTATTAGTCTCAACAAATTTCTCGATGAGTTATGTTGGATAGTTATTCACAAGTCATGCTTTCGTATTCGTCTGACAGCCTTTTTTGAGATTTTTTCCACTCTGTCTATTCGATGATGCCACATGTCAAGTGATTCACAACGGAAATCTCAGTGTGGCCTTTGAAGTGAAGACAGGAGTAAGGCGAATTGGCTGTCTATTATCAACCAATGATATTCCTAATTGTGGTGACTTGATTATGCATCAGACTGTGGGAGGACAGCAAGAAGACAGGGATACGCTGGACCACTGATAAGAAGTTTGTAGGAGATCTATATGTTGTGTGCAGATTAACTATGTTCAACGTCACACAAACTCGAAGACTTACAGCCAAAAACCGACAAACTAGCTGAGGAGTCAGATTGCAAATGTAGGACTCCAGGCGGACATTTAAAAGAGGTTGCTGTTTTCAATTATCTAGGAAGCATCGTTTCACCAACAGGTGAAACGGATGAAGATGTTAAAGCCAGCATAGATCGGAAGGGCAAGATACACCATCATCACTGTGAAATCATTTTGGAAATATGCGGCACTCATTATGGAAAGAGAAATTCGAATTTTTAACACCATTGTAGACTCAGTTGTTCTATATGGGTTAGAAATCAGGAGTGCCTTTCGTGGGAGATATTTCCAACAGTCAGGCCACTGTAGACTTGTATAAACAGCTGCGTTCACTGCCTCCATATTGAAGATCGAATGTCGACAGGAAAGAATAAATAACAGGAAACTCTTGTTCGGAACAAACTAACCAAGTTATGCGAGAGAAAATGGAGACGGTCGAATGACATTACACTGTAGGCCAATGGTCGAGTAGAACCTGGATAGGGAAGGACGACTGAGTCGTCTTGGAGTGATATGGAGGAGATCATGGAAGAAGGAGATGAGAGATTATGGGGAATCGTGGTTTCAGGTGAAGAGGACGGTGGAGAATAGAACTAAGTGGAGGCGTGTTGTTAAGGTCCCACTTTCTAATGGGAACCTGAGGGAATACTTATAGTAAAATTTTGGATCTTATGGCTCAGTAGTCAGACTGCTGGCTCTACTACAATAAGTAAGCTGACAAAGCTCATCTTCACTTAGGTAGTAGAGTTTATTGTACTTTGACCAAATATAATTCTGTATGAGATTCAACACTTAGTGATTTTGTACTAGTTGATTACTAACGTTTCCAGCAGAATTTATTTCTCATAGACATATCATGCAACTTCCTGATTTGTTTTGTATACTTCAGTATTATTTTTGCATGTAACCGGGATATTTTCAGCGTCATTTTAATTGTTTGTATTTGATGTTGACGCGATGAATAAGCATTTGGTGATATCTGCTTGAATATATTACTGTGTTAGTGTCTACATTACGTGGGTGGACAGTAAGGCAAAGTGCCTAGCTTCCATCCATTTATCTTTATTTAATTATACTTAAACTCTTCCTGTTCGAAGACTGCTCACTCAAAGTAAGCGTTGAAATATGCATTGATATCCCTTAACCAGATGGAACACTCTAGTGGCCTTTTTTCTATTTATTCGTTTCTATTGTTTCGACAAATTGTTAAATTCTCTTTTTGTCTCTACTTCGCCTTGTTCGATTGATTTTGTTCTGTCTACATACATCTCTATTTTCGTGTTTTGTGTTTTCTTTCTCTAGTCTTCATTTCTACTACCTTGTGTTTTGACCATTTAATTCATTTCTACGTTTAATTTTAACATGCTTTTTAAATGTCTTATGGAGAAATATTGATTTGAGGTTTCATATTTTTCATTTTTAAGGGATAGATGACCTCTACTGAGTAATAATCTATTTTCTTATTGTTATCAATTATTCAATCCAAATGGAATCAAGTAATACTGAGGTTAAACGTTTATTGATTTCAGTGCAGTTCACTAGTTTGTTCTAGTGAATGTAAATATATTTCACGGTGTAATAGCCATCTTCTTACCATTTTGGTTATAGCATGTTGGGTAGACTGAATTCTACTTGACTAATCAATATTATTATTGTATAATGACCAGATGTATACTGCACAGAACTCACGCAAGCTTGGCAGCTTTGTGAATGAAATTTTACTAAATTTGCTGAAAATACATATATTATTGCCTTTTTTTAAATCGTTTATTTAGATGACTTCATGTTAAAACTCAATAAGGATGCTGTTGAATTGACCAACAGCTTTGAAAAGTCGAGTTTGGGTGGAAGTGTAGCTAGTTATTATTATTTTTTTAATGGATGCTGTTCGGGATTTAGGAAAATATTTCATACAGAAAGTGCCTTAAACAAAACCCCCAATCAATAATTCCCAACCCTAATTTCACATAAACTCTAATCCATTATAACTCTAATCTGACTACAATTCCTGACCTTAAACGGGTAATCATTTGGATAAACACCGACACTGTTATGAGATGCTGAGAGTTATTCGTGCAACATTTTAAGGTTAGGTATCCTGTTTAATATCATTACATGTCTTTGAACATGAATATGGAATCTTTGACATGGTGTATACTGGAGGCTTTTAGTATCATTGACTTCTCCCATACTCTTAAATAAGCTCCTAGTTCTGGGTTAAGAAGTGAAACTATCGAATGTGTTGACCATGTGAAAGGTTGTACTAGGTCCAATGGACTGGTTGTTGACGTTATCGCAGTATGCATACAAAAAACACGTTTGACAAGACTCCCAACTTGCAGTGTCTTTGGTTCAGGAGTGATAGCCCACCACATATCAAATAGAGTGTATGCTTTACATCAATCATTTTCGTCTTACTTTAGGGCTGTGAGACATGTCCGTCTCACAATATTACAGTTTCAATGCAAGCTGTATTCCAACTGAGAAGTGACTACTATTTATTACTTATTTGAAAGAAATTCAGATGCTTTGTCATCTCTTTTCTAGCAAGTTTCAGTAAATTAACTTTTTCTATTTTATTACCTTACGGCATATACTTCGTAAAAGTGTGCTAACCTTCTTTAGGAATCTCTGTAAAAAATTAGCGTAAGTAATGAAAATATTGAGGTGTTTAAATTTCGTATATATACCTTCAGTAGCAAAAGTTTTCAATGAAAAGAATCTATGCTTTTTTCTATGCATCTGTTAATTTTTTTTTACAGTCTACAGCCCGTACATTAGACCAGATCATTGTCTGAAAAATGTGATTATACTTTTTAGTTCTTACAAACTTTACCTTAAATAACCTTTAATTTTCAAGTGATATTCTTTCAGTTCAAGTGTTATCACTCAAAAGGTACTTATGCACCTCAGCTGTTTCAAACTGCATTTCTTATTCTCTCTGATCATTCCGCTTCACGAAACTAGTTAAATTGACACCTGAAATATATATATATATATATATCCACATCCACGGAATATGCCCGAAAGGTTTTGTTTCACGGTACTTTTGTAATAAATGAAAGGTTATAATACTTTCATTATGATAAGGAAATATCTTGTTCAAATAGAGATTTGGATTTATTCTCGTTTAAATTCGGATTAGCTGGGAACAATATTCACTTTTTTTATTGAATATATTTTGCTAGCACATGAAAATAGTTGTCGAAAACAACACAATTTTATGGTTTGTAAGCTCGTCAATCATTAAATTTATAAAACGTAATCGTCTAATATTTGTGATTATTGAAGGTGTACATTTCGGGGTAGCGGGGAAACAGGTTTCGATCTCTGATTGGTTTATTGAGTTGCATTTTAAGGACTGTCGCACTGAAGTAAACAAAACTGCTAATCTCAGATTTAGTGTTTATTGTAATACGTCAAAGTCAACATCGACATAAAAATTTGTCACTGCTTCTGCTAACACATCATTGCATCCGACAGTAACACTGGTAGGCGAGCAGATCACCTTCAATTATCATATCTCTCGTCTCATAATAATTATAACAATTAATAAAGTTACAGGACTGGTAATGTGCTGACATCATTTAAATGACTATTAGGAAACTAGGGATAAGTGAATAGCTGTTTAATCCTAGTTCGGGACTCTTCAGAACTGCTCACCCACCGTGGTTCGAACCCAGAACCTTTCAGTAACAATATGAGGTCGTAGACCATTCGGCCACTCAGACTCAGTACAATGGCCCATACATTCTAAATTCTCCGATTCGTGATATTTGGCACAACCTCCAGTCAGTGTGACAGGCCAGTAACTGTCCTGATGTGCCCCGCTGGCTACAATTTGACACCACAACTTCAGGTGACTCGCTGTACAGAATCAGTCACCAGTAAGCATTATATTAATTCTTAATTGTGTACTGATCAGGTGTCCCAAACTAGAACGAGACATCTGTCCAGTACTCCCTGGTTTTTCAATAGTTTTCTAACTGAAATCAATTAAATCACTATAAACCAGCACCCAAAAATTAATTTGTAAATTAATATTTGTTAACATATATTTCATATTGCATCAATATCTTAGATGAATAAAAACTTCAATTTTCTGTTGATTTATTTCTCGGAATTATTATGGGGAATCGATTGATAATCTAGGTGAATACCAGCATGATTGTCTTTGAGTTCTTCGAAGGCTTATTACATGATGGTTGAATTTTTTGTTGAATATTTTAAAAGAAAAAAACCCCTTTTAAGTTGACATGTTTTGGTTTTCGTTATTTCCCTTCATTCAGGGTAAAACATGTGTGGCCGTTGCTGCTTCCAGGACATACTACAGTTCTAGATGATAGTTTGGGCTTGGCTCTTTGGTTTGCTGCTCGTGGACAAGGTGTACTTCACAATCCAAATGGTGTGGAAGTGAAATGCACTTCATCTGCTAAGGTAAGACCAAGATATATATTCATTATATATCGAAGAAGCCATCTTTAGAGGCTGTCCGATTTAATTTATATTTAGTAATATGTATAGCATCCTATTATTTAGTAATATATGAGAGTCGGGGTGACTATTATGTATTTTGATAAATATAAATACTATTGTCCGTCTTTGGAGATGATTTCATCGATTAAAAATATTTCCTCCGATGAATTGACTTTCGCTTTATTTATGATGCATTCTAGTTGCGCCCTGAATATATCAGTGATAACGTCTTCGACTGCAGACAATGGGTAGCGTGACTATGAAGTCCAGAGTAGATATCGATTCCTTCGAAATTGCAGATATGCCCTGGGGACAAGTGCCAGTAGACACGAAACCAAGTCCAAGAATTCCTTACGATTATCTACAGCTATCTAATATATTAAAATACTATAAACCCATGTATAAGCCATTTAAAAGGGATGTCAAAATGAAGATGAGATGGCGATGTGTTATTGAAGTCCTACATTCCCGTCAACCTGGTCGACAACTGCTACCTTGCCGTGGTGGTCGGGCTTGAATACCGCAGTGATCCAACAAGCTAAACTGGCTGGGACTCATGTCGCTGCAGGTCCTACCATGTCAGGAAGGTTGTTTGGATAGCGGTTAGACTAAAAGCAGTTACCATAGGGGACATGGGCTCCGGAATCTAATCGGATCAAATGGCGTATGAACCCATATGGGTCACTGGGAACCATGGGAATGCAGCTCCTGACGTTGCTCCACTGCCTTGCGGATTAGACTCCATGTCAAAGGCTCGGGGGGCGGTCCCTTAAGAAAACCACCTGATTCGGTCTGGGCGCTCGGACATTACGTCTGAACGGATCAGTAAAAAGGAGAAAGGATTTCACTACTCGCCGATGCCTTTTCGTAATCTCCGCCTACGTCCCCACTGACTGCAGTTCGGATGAAACGAAGGATGAGTTCTACCAAAAGCTGTCTAGTTTGCTGCGAAAGGCTAAACACTCAGATATAGTCGTTCTAGCTGGTGACTTTAATGCTCAAGCAGGGAAATTGTGTCAATCTGAGAAGGATGTCGGTGGCACCTATGCAGTTCCGTGACAGCGAACCGACAACGGTGACCGTCTCCTACAGTTTTGTTCAGGTAATCATTTGTTTCTAGTAAGCACTAACTTCAAACACAAGGAGAGACACTGTTTGACCTGGCGACCCGCATCATCAAACCAACGCTGGACACAAATAGACCACATAGCAGTAAGCTATCGTTGGCGTGGATCGGTAGGAGATTGTCGTTCCTTCTGGAATACGTGTGCAGATACCGATCACGCACTGGTCCGCGCTCGTGTGTGCTTACGACTGAACGGACGTAGGAAACAGCCGGCGGTAAACCCATCACGTCCCCAGATCGATCAGGAAACTAAATCCCTATTTGAGGAAGAACTAGCTAAACACATATCTGTGTTCGACAGCTGTGCTCACCCTGAAGAAGTTTGGAAGAATATTCAGTCAGCCATAGATACAGCTGTAAAAGCTGTGAATAAGGTAAATTTAAGGGTGAATAAAAACCATTGGATTTCGACTACCTCATTCGAACTGATAGATGCTAGAAGACTTATTCTGGCGAGCTCCGAAGACTATTTCTGAGAAAAATGGCTCCTTAATTGGCTCTCAGGATGGACGCCTTGAACGATGGAAAGAACACTTTGAGGAACAATTTAACTTGCCTACAGCCACACTGAACCTCCCCGTCATCCGGCACACACCCGAATGGGATATAGACACTGGTCCGCCGTCTGTAAGTGAGGTCACAAAAGCTATCTGTTACTTGAAACGAAACAAAGCGGCAGGACCCGACGGAATTATTCCAGAGGTGTTTAAATATGGGGGCGACATACTAGTATGTAGATTAACTGAGGTACTAGGCAACGTCTGGGAATCAGAGATGGTTCCATCAGACTGGGGTAAGTCACTTATTATACCGATATTCAAGAAGGAAAACAAGTCCTCATGTGATAATCATAGGGGGATCAGCCTAACGAACATAGTCTCTAAAATCCTAGGCTCAGTAATCATGCACAGACTAAGCAGAACTCGGGAGGAACAGACGAGGGAAAATCAAGCAGGCTTTAGACCAGGTAGAGGGTGCATAGATCATATCTTCACTCTTCGACAGATTCTAGAACATAGACACACTTTTCGGCGTTCAACAATTGCCATGTTTCTTGACTTGAAGGCGGCCTTTGACTCCGTGGATCGAAAGGTACTATAGCAATGTCTGACTGTGAAGGGAGTGCCAAGAAAGTACATTGCACTAATCAAGGCACTCTATTCAAAATCACGTAACTGTATAAGGGCCTATGGAGAATTGTCATCTGAATTGATAACAACCAGTGGTGTCCGGCAGGGATATCCACTTTCCCCATTTCTGTTTAACTTCATCATAGATATGCTGATGGAAGTATCCTTAACTGAACGTAACGACTTAGGAATCGACCTGTTACCAGGGAATAGTCTTATGAACTTAGAATATGCAGATGACATAGTCCTGTTAGGGGAGGTTGCTGACAAAATGCAGAGTCTTCTGAACACCTTGAGCAGCAATCTTCGTATGTTTGGCATGCGATTCGCCCCTGGAAAATGTAAGATGCTGCTACAGGACTGGACCATATCAACTCCTAACTTAGTGATAGGGAATGAAGTGATAGAACATGTTGACCACTTCACCTATTTGGGAAGTTGTATCAGCTCCAATGAACTGATTGGCGACGAAATCTCAGCAAGGATCCAAAAAGCTCGAGCTGCTTTCGCCAGCTTGCACGTAGGCATGACATCCGGCTATCAACCAAGGGACGTGTGTACTGCTCAGCAGTTCGCTCCGTCCTTCTCTATGACTCTGAAACATGGCCAATACGATTTGAAGACAGGAAAAGGTTGACTGTTTTTGATCATAGATGTCTGCGATCTCTTTCTCACGTTAGGTGGTATAGTAAGATAAGTAATGTTGACGTTAGGCGTAGAGTGTTGAGCAAAGTGAGTAATAGAGAGGTTTCGCGTGCATTTCGGATTGTGGGGGCGATTGTTACTTCCCGGCTGCCCACACCGTGGAAGTTGGTTGCGTGACCGCAGAGCCCAAGGGACAACTGCTTGAGGCCGGTCACACGCAGCCTGTTTTTGTTCGTTCTCTTTTGTTTGGTGTGCCTCAGTAGCATACTTATCACTCCTGCCCTGTGACATGGCAGCAGGAAGCGCGGTCGTTGTTAATCCGGGCCACGGCCGATCCGGCATGAAATTTTGTGATTTTGTATTGGACATGATGTTGGATTGGGTAGCTGCTTTTTGTTTAACCGCTATCCAAACAACCTGCCTGGCATTGTAGGACCTCAAGAGACATAAGTCTCAGCCAGTATAGCTTGAATAGATCATTGCGGTGTTCAAGCCCGATCACCACGTCAAGGTATCAGCTTTCGGTCGGGCAAAGAGGGAAAATCAGTCGACGAGGCTATAAAGTCACATAGATTGGCATGGCTAGGTTACGTGGTGCGCATGCCTAACCATCGCCTCCCCCGACGGGCATTACTAGCTGATATAGGTGCAGGTTGGAAAAGAGTAAGTGGTGGCCAAACAAAAACATGGCATCAATCCATGAAATCCTTGACAGTTAAACTGAGTCGGTCAGGTAGGGAGATGCAGACTTCTGGGTTGGGGCCCTCGGAACTCTAGGAATCAATGGCTGGAGACAATAGGTGACATGGCTCAAAATCGTTGTCGATGGAGAAGATGTATTCAGTCTCTGTAATCTTTCATATTCCTTTCTACCATCACTCATTCTGTTTCACTCTTATACTTGTCAGACTGTATTGATTCTCTTCACTCATCTTCTTATCTACCTCTGTGTGTCATTTGGAACGTGGCAACTTGAACTGCTGCACTTCAGTGCCAAGTTCTATGTTGAATCCAGACAGACAGACCATCTTTAGAAAGAGTCGACGTAATTCGTGTGACAATCATAGGGGTATCAGTCTGCTACCAGTCGCGTCTAAAATATTGGCAGCTGTCTTGCTTCGCAGGCTGTGAAAAATACGTGAGGGATTGATTCGCGAAGAGCAGGCTGGGTTTCCTTCAGGTTGTGCATGCATTGATCATGTGTTCACCCTTCGTCAGTTGTTGGAACACCACCACACGTATTGCAGGCCAACGATCGTTGTGTTTCGTGATATTAAGGCTGCCTTCGATTCGTTGGACAGAACTGTGCTCTGGAACTGTCTGTTAGAGAAAGGTGTACCTGAGAAATTTGTTAACATCTTGAAAGCCCTATACGGAAACACCTCGAGTAGAGTGAGGGCATACAACCAACTATCATCACTGTTCCCAACCAACAGTGGGGTTAGACAGGGTTGCCCGATCTCTCCACTTCTCTGTAACTTTGCCATCGATGACATTCTGTGGTCAGCTCCGAAGGACGTGCATGAAGGTGGTGTAGATATACTCCCTGGATAGAATTTTGGACCTTGAGTATGCAGACGATATCGTCTTACTGTGTGCGATAGCACGCAGGCTGCCCAAATCGCACTTAATCAGTTGGCGATCAGCGTCTGTAAGTATGGTGTGTGCTTTGCGCTGTCTAAGCACAAAGTGCTGTTACAAGATTGACAGAAACCTGTACCTGCACTCACTCTGACAGGTGAACCGCTTGAAGTCGTTGATAAGTTCGTGTATCTGGGTAGTTGTGTAAGTGCTGGCAGAGGGTGACGCATGAGGACACACGTCAACTTGAGCCACCTCTGGCGCCGTTACTCTGGCTGTCAAAGGTCGGGTATACAATGCTTCGGTGAGGGCTATCTTGCTCTACGCCTGCGAAACCTGGCCTTTCCGAGCTGAGGATGTGCGGCGACTCTGTGTGTTCGATCATCGCTGTCTTCGCAGGATTGCTTGCGTTCAATGGCACCATCGCGTGAGTAATTCTGAGGTTCGGCAGCGTGTGTTTGAACACAGTGGAGATCACC